TCAGAGATGAGGTCCCAAAACGCTAGATAATCTGAAAAGAAGGCAGCCGACATGGCACCTTGTATGTCTCGAACCCATGAATGATCAGTAAGAGCCTCTAAAACAGTTCTCATCTTTCTTTTCTGCTGGGAAAGCCAAGACATAAGGAGCCAGATCAGCAATACTTTGGCCATGAATCCATCTGTCTGTTGAGAACAAAGTCGCTGCACCATTGCCCACTACTGAGATGACAGCAACAGAGAAGAAAGCTTGGACACAATTGTGGACCGGGATGTGAAACATATGCCAAGGACGGTTAGGGTCTGTTTTTTTCAACCATAGCCATCTCATGCGAAGAGCCCAACTAAGATTTTGGAGATTAGAAATTCACAGACCACCAAGCTCTTTGGGGAGGCACACTTTAGGCCACGCCACCAGACAATGACCACCTTTGGTCACGATGCTATGAAAACATTGGAGGGTAGAAATGCTGGTCTTATGTCTGTCATAGTATCTCTAAGCACATGCAGTGATTCCAAGATTGAGAAACTTCAATGATGCAAAATTTTGTAGGGCAAGAAGTCTTAGTTCTGCTCGAATGGAATCCGCTTCCACCACAATGCCCTCCATTGTCGTGTATGTGACTGTTCCAAACAGGGAAGCAGGTAACTGGTCCATAATAGCTTTCTGTGCTATTAATTCTTCCTTCAGCACTTTGAGTCCTTGCTAATCACGTTGGCAGTTTTCTCCGATGAGAAAACAGACAGATTAGTACCTTTTCAGCTTGTGGGCATCCAATATTTGTCCACTTGATTAGTGTTCTTCTTCTAAGGTTTTGCTTATTACTGTTGCATATTTTCTGTGTATATTTCTGGCTTTTGCTTTAGTTGTCAAAAGATAACTTGTCTCACATCTATCATAGGCAAGAAGCTGTTACAGAGCATCATTAGCGAGACGCTTGCTGCTTGTGTCAATATAGTACCTGGTTTGATTTCAATTTTCTCATCACTTATTTTCTTGAAAATTTTTTACATTACGAATGCAGTGCACAAGAACATGTGATTGCGTTTTTTTCAATTATTTATTTTCCTAAATGGAAAATTTTGTTCTGTTTAAATAATATAATAACATCACTGGGAAGATCTAGATATACTTGTATTAATTTTTGCTGGATGTTGAACACTAAATATTCTCATTTCTGAATTAGTTGGTAGGTTTCTCTTAAGTTGTGCCAGGTGAAGTAAGGCTAGATACATCTATAAATGAGATGAGCTTGATAACTCTGTATTGTCAGTATATAGCCTGTAAGAACTAACTGTGGCATAGGCGCATAGCTTACTGAAATGATTAGTTAAACTTACATGTTAAATATAATTTGCATATCTGGCTTCAGGCAACCAAGAGTCAAGACAGCGATAAACTGAAATGAAGTGTTTTTTTTTTGGGGGGGGGGGGGCGGGAGGAGGGGGAATGAGGCCTCCTGCCATACAAGAGTGGTCAGTAGAATTGCATATAATTTGTTCCTTGCTGTTCATTTGAGTGGTTACTATGAATACCTTACTCTCTGTTGTTTATACACGTGTTGGAATAGAATGTCCTTTCTTTATCTTTGAAGCGGTGAAATAAACTGAAGTCCTCCATACCTTTTTCAGGCATTGAACCGTTTACTGGTGGGAGGGAAAGGTGTGGTAGGGCATCTCTAAGAGATTAGCAAAAAAGATTAGCCAAATTTACTGATTTAGCTACTCTCTAAAATAGATTTGACAAAAATATACTAGAGTACTCCAACAGACTCTATAAAACTAAGAGGCTAGATGGCTAGTGAGATAGGCTATCCAAAAATAGAGAGCGAATGAGGTGGGATGGAGAGCTACTAAATTTGGAGAGTCATTTACAAAGTGTTGGAGACGTTTTTCTTTTAATAATAGTCAAATTTACCTTTAGAAAATGATTTGGCTAATCTCTTGGATATGCTCTAAGATTTCCATTCAGACTAAATAAAGTTTGTTATTTTCGTAGTACTTATTTGTTATCCCAAACTTTCTAAAATTCTTCTTGAAAATCCCTCCCTGCTTATCAAACTAAGCATATCTGACCAAGAATCTGCCCTTTTTCAGGTGCAATCTGATGCTTAAGAATTGCTCATCATCAAGACCAGGGAATCACTTCTGGGTCCCTTGACTGCACGTGTCAAAGGCTCTTAAAGCCAACCATGAATATGAGTAAGCTCCATTAAGTTTACTGATGCTGTGTTTGTTGATTGAAACAGCTATGGTATGCTACTCTTGTTCTGGGATTTACGTGTTACTCGCCCATAACTGGTGGTAACACCAAGTGTTTGGAATGGATCAAGAACAGCACTAGGGACAACTGATCTCTTTCAGTGCTCGAAATAATGCGAATATCAAAGTGCCCAAGAACATGAAGTGACTCAGCTCTCTTCCAGTGGCTTGCACAAGGGAGTTTCCTCTCTTGACCTGTATATATCAGTGCTCTACCAAATATTTTACCATCTTCTGGTGACAAAATGCTTTGGTGTCTCGTGTGGGTACCCAAATGCATGCGTTGCTCTGAGCATTGACTGATTGATCCGTGTAAGTCCAAACCAGATCATATCCAAACATGCGTATTGTTGCTCTTGATCGATTTTTGGGCTTACTTTTCTGCTGATATGCCTGAACCTGACGTTGCGTCACCGGCTGTTGAAGTATTGCTCTTATCACGTGCACGACGCTTGTTACATGATGATTTTACCCAATGGTTTGTTGATATTTTCAGATATTGTAATTGTATGGGACAAGTCCTGATATACCTTCTATATATACTAGGTACAAATCTGGGCTGTGGAATGTTGTAAGAGCAGAGAATTATACTCCCTCTATTCCAGATTATAAGTCATTTCAAAAATTTTAGAAAGTTAAAGCATCTCGAGTTTAACCAAAATTATAGAGAAAATTTAAAAAGATTTATAACATCAAATAGTTATATCATAAAAATATAATTAATGAAGAATCTAATGATATGGTTCTGTTTGGATCTCTTACTCTAAACTTTAAAGCTCTAAAAACTTTAGAGTATTTTAGCTTACTTTTGAGGTCTAAAATTCTAACGTGAGGTTGACTAAAGTTTAGAGCTAATTTTAGACCACTTATTTGAAGACTTTAGCTCTAAAGTTTAAAACAGTGGATCCAAACATGCCCTTAGTTGGTACCATAAATATTATTATTTTATCATGTAAATTTAGTATAGTTTTAAATCTCCCGCTATAGCTGTCGCTATAGCCCGCTATAGCCATTTGAGGCAAGGTGCCGCTATTTGAGTTCATGTACAATTTAGCCGATATATCCGCTATAGCCCGATATAGAATCACTATTAGTTGTTTTAAAGATATACCGCTAAACACCTTAGCCCGTTATTTAAACTATTGAAATTTAGTCAAACTTAAGATTCTTTGACTCTCTGAAATTTTTGGAATGACTTGTAATTTGGAACGGATGGAGTAAAAGTTTATGCTGAAGGCAATAGCCCGCCACGCAATCTGGGCATCCTTTTGAGGCGCTGCTCCTGTTGCAACACGTCTCGTCAGGACGCTCGATGGACATCACGGCTGCCCTGATGAGGCCGTTGATGCACGGGACGGGGCGAGACGTGTCCTGCCGGCGTGCGCCCGTACCGCAGCTAATCAGGCGGTTTTCACCCATACCACGTGAAAATCACACGGACTGCATGGCGTGCGCCCAGCGGATCAGACTGCCAGGTGTTTCCGTTTTAGAGCCTCCTCTAGTAGTCCTATACTGGGTTACTGAACATCAGTGGCCAGTTGCTGGTGCCAGATGCAGCAATCACGGAGTCCATCGACATGTTTGGAGATAGGACCTCCCGGAGCAGGTGATCAAGGCAATAAGTGCTACGACGAAGACGTGCAACAAGGAGCTCTCCAAGGCCCTAGCTGCAATGACATCGGAGTCGGGGCGGCCAAGATGGAGGTCGTGCTCATGCATTGTATGATTATTCGGTGTCACACTAGGAAGTCGCCCAATTGAGCAGATTTGGTGTGTTTGAGATCGGGATCATGCTGTTGTTCTAATGTGTTGCACATGTGTTAGTTGGAGGTCAGTGAGTTGCCACCTCCAGTTTGTTAGTGTTGGGGAGTGCAAGACAGTGGCTAAGGAATTGTCTTGGAGGATTAGATGGAGCTTCTTGCATACAAGTTTTAGACAGAGGTGTTCCGGTTGTCGGAAGAAAATGGTCGAAAGTCGGCTTGGTGAGTTAGAAGATGTATTGGTTGCTTTTGGAGGCCAAATTATTATGGCCTCTTGTACCCCTAGAATGGGTAGCCCGTTTATTTCTTTTCGTCTAATCTGTCCAATCTGAGAAGCTATTTACCCTGCTTGCTTGCATATGTAATTCTCTCTTCTCCTTGTTAATATATGCTGGCTATGTCGTGGATCTTTAAAAAAAAACAAATAACCAGAAGACAACTACGCACGGGCTGGACCAGATTGGTACACGTTCAGATAATCAGATACGGCCAAGTGACAGCTTGTGAATCGCACCGCAATCCTCTCGCGTATCCAAGATGAGCGATGAGGCAGCTTTTGTACTGTACTCTACATGCTCGTGAGTCGTGACACTGCCGACGTACGAAATTCAAGAGTTCACTGTTCACCACCGCCTCCAAATTAACCTCTTGAAACAGGCCAACAGCCATACAGAACATAAACGAAAGCAGTACACTGATTCTCTAGCTACCCGTGACGAAACAATTTTTTCACGTGTCACGTCCGTTAGTGGGGTCTTCTTTTATAATTTGTACTTTTTAGCTTATTTTTTTAATTAAAATATTATTTTTCTCTTATAATAAATTAGTCGGAACAATATTTTAGCTTGATTTTTCAACCGTTAACATTGGAAAGGAGCATAAGCTAACAGCAGGACAACCAACTGCACACCGACCGATGTGGCAGCCGCAGCGCTTTGCCGTCATCCCGTCGTGCATGGGCACGGACGGACTCGGGGGCTCAGTTGCAGGGCTCCCTCGCGAATCCGACGCGCGAGCCGGCGACGTCGACGACGACCCTGACGTTCTGCTGCTGCAGGTTGGCCACCACGTTGACGACGGCGTTCACGTTCTGCGGCGCCTCGGCCATGGCCAGGCACGCCAGCGGCGTGGCGCTGCTGTGGATCAGCGTGTTCTCCATCGGCAGCGTCAGGTCCACGCCGCCATCCATGTGCAGCGTCACGGCCGGCGCGCCGCCCGCCGCCACCTCGTCCGTGTTGAAGCAGGTGTCGAAGGCACCCAGCGACGTGTACCCGCTCGGCGCCGCCACCTGCCGCCGGAACTCCTCGCTCAGCGCCGCGTACACGGGCGCCGTCCACCGCGTGATCACCGTCCCCGAGTCGATCACCGTGCCGGCGCCGGTGGCTGGGTCGAACGCGAACGACCCCGCGGGGACCTTCACCAGGGTCCGCCCCACGCTGAGCCCCGTCACGTTCACGTAGTACAGCGACGGCCGGTGCGGGTTGGTCAGCAGCGGCGTGTACCGGACGTTCCTGGGCTGCCCGGCGGCGCCCAGCCGGAGGGAGCCGGAGAAGTAGTACGACCTGTAGCTCGGCAGGCAGTAGGAGAAGACGCCGTTGTACCTGCTCCCGGTCTGTGACAGCAGCGACATGGGGCCCCGGCCGAGGCCGAGGAGCCCCTGCTTCGGCAGGTTCGTCGTCGGCCCGGTCACCGCGCCCACGCACCCGAACGCGTAGCTGGCGATGGCGTCCTTGCCCAGCCGCAGCGTGTCGCTGCCCAGCGACGCCTGGAACGCGGTGTCCGCGAACGGCTTGGAGAAGGCGCACGTAGGCAGCGGCGCCGACGCGTCCTGGCTCGCTGGGCACGGCTGGCCGTCGAAGAGCGGGCACCAGTCGGAGGCGCACGGGAGAGAGGCGTACGAGGAGGAGCTTGCCGGGATGAAGCGGCTGCCGGCAGGGCACGTGTCGCACGGGGCGCAGTGCGACCAGGTGGCGTCGGCGCTGGTGTCGAGCGCCAGGAGGAGCTGCTGCACTGGGGTACCGAGCCCCGCGCGGACGACGTACGAGGGCGGAGTCTGCCCGGAGGCGACGGGAGCGGAGGTGACGCCGCCGGACGAGGCCGCCTTGGACGAGAGGAAGAGGAGCCGCGCGTCGTCGGTGCGGGCGAGCGCGATGATGGACTCGAGCGGGGACGGGGACGGCGGGTGCACGTTGTGGTACACGGAGAGGTCGGCCGCCGAGGCGGCGGTGGCGGCGACGAGGAGGAGAAGGATGGTAGTAGTGGTGGCCGCCATGTCGAGGGAGCTAAATAAGCTAGGGAGTGTGGGTGTGGAGTGAGGAGTGTGCGAGGTGGGTTTATATAGCTGGGGCGCTGGGTTCTTGGAGTACGTACTGCGGTGTTTTAGCTAGGATTTTGGTTATTTGAGCTCATTTTTTATTATTTTAATAAGGGAGCTCATTTTTTAATTACAGATAAGTTTGTACATCTGGCAAATCTTGTTCTTGGCGTGGCCATATCCTTGGGGAGGGATTTGACTATCTAGTTTATCTTGGTTTTTTTTATCAGGTTTATCTTGGTTGGTTAGAACCACTAGAAAGAGCGCAACAACCAACGGCCAGTTCGTTTCGTCGTAAACGATCGTGGATTATTTACTGCTGGCTGGTTTGGTGTGAAAGAAAAATACTGTTTTAGCTTATAATCACGATCGTATATGAGCGAGCGAACATGTTGTGACCAATTTTCCGTCGCCCTACCCTAGTACACTGTGACCAATTGTCCTCTCACAGTCACAGACTATCCATGATTCCATGGTGAGGCATTCTGGGTTTGAGCTGCCTTCGAGAACCTTACGCCGCTCTTTTGGTGAAGAGGGCTCCTTTGATTTCTTAGCCCTTCATTTTCCATTTTTTCCCCCGGATTTTTGTATTCTTTTTTCCTGCTAGGCTGTCTGATATCTTTCAGTAAAATACGTGCATCGCATGTTCTCAAATAACCATGCATAGTTTCATGGATTTTTCATTCTGAATTTCCAAGGACGGCCGATCAGAGTTTTTTTTAAACCGTATATATATACTGTATGTCATCGTGAGTTCATGCCCGTGTGGGGAGATCACAGTCACACGGACCATCCATGGTGCGGCATTTTGGGTTTGAGCTGCCTTCAAGAACCTCACGCCGCTCTTTTGGTGAAGAGAACTCCTTTGATTTCTTAGCCCTTCGTTTCCTTTTTTTCCCCCGGATTTTCTTCTTCTTTTTGCTTGCCACGCTGCCTGATCTCTTTCCCACATTTTTTTTACTTCTTTTGTATTGTGGTCGTTCTCAAGAATAGTTTCTTCCTTTGAATAAAATACGTGCCCATGCATAGTTTCATGGAATTTTCGGTCTGAATTTCCAAGGACGACGGATTATATATACTGTATGTCATCGTGAGTTCATGACCGTGTGGGGGCGAATGCAGATGGACATATGCCAATCAGAAAAGCACGGTGAACTGAACTGGAATCCAAAGACAAGGCAGAGTACTTGTGGGGAAGTAATTAAGCCTCTACTAAGCTAGTCGTACCCTTGTGTGAAATCTTGCCGGCCTGCTGCATGCATTGCAGCCGTATACCCTGAAAAAAAAGGTATTACGGGGACGAGACAGCTTCTTCACGGGTCAACAAGGACAAACATCATCTTATCTTGTCGACTCGCCATCGCCAGCAGGTATTCATTCATGCATGTCGCCAGCACTCAGCAGCCGCCAAGCAAATTCCTACGCGTCTCTGAATTACTACACGAGTCTGACGGACGCCCAACGCTTCGCAGTCGCTCGCAGCATTGCTGTGGACTGTGCGTGCGACTGTGGTTAACTGACGAGTGACGACCACACACCCACCACGGCATATATACATTCGCTGGCCGGGCCACCGGACCGTTACGTTGGCGTGGCGATCGATCGAATTGCTGGTGCACGCGCGGGCGCGGCCACACGTGAGGACCACTACTTACACTAAGCGAATAGGCGATCGGGTCGATGGATATGCATGGATCGGCACACTGGCGTGTCTGCGCAATGGTACAGGAGGTAAGCTACAAAGATGATAATGATAATGATAATGCATGCATGCGCTAGCTGATGCGCATCGTATTCGTATGTACAGACACGGAGAGCGGATCTCAGTCTCACCATTTTAGGCCTTGTTTAGATGCAGTGGATTGAGATGAATCCGATAACATCAAACAAACCTTAGCTGGTCACGCCTGCCGCCTATAGTATTTACTAATTACAGGCTCAATGGTGATAATCCATCCATCTCCGTCCACTGTTGTTTGGTGCTGGAATGGGCGAAGCATGCAAGCAGCCAAGCCAACGAGTAGCTGCGGCCTACACTGTTCCACACCCACCGAAAGCTCCTATCTCCCTGCATGCATGAACAGTGCGCGGCGCTGCAAATTTTGTTGGCGTTCAGTTCACGAGCGGCACCCTGCAGCTCGGCGTGCACGATACGGCCACGCCGCACGTACTTGGGGGGCCAGGCACTCAGGCAGGCCTAGCTGAGTAGCTGTGGCTTTTTTCTTCTTATTACGTTTTGCTTTCAATTTAGGAGGTCTCGAGCGCACAACATTGTTGATCATGTTTCTAGTACTACTACATGGCAGGAAGATGTTACGGACCCAATCGTACGTAGTTCCTTTTTTTTCATCTCATCTCATGCAAGGCACTAATTACACCCAAATGGACACCTGAACCTGTCGCGTCTGAGCATCCAACACCGCAAACACGCCAGCAGTCAACAACACTTGACCAAAATTGCGGAGGCATTGCTCAAGAACGAACTCGTCGCCTATCCGACGCAAAAGCATATGTCCATGGCTAGGGACAAAAGGCATCGCGTATATAGCATAGGAGATTAGGGGTAACTCTTTGTCACCGAGTAATCCTCTGTCTGAGTTAACACGCCACGCCAGCAGTCAGGAAGCGCACGAGATGACCGACGAGCTCGATCAGCAACCCCGGCGAGTGTAGGCCGCCGGACCGCCGGAGCATGCATGCCAATGCCAACAAAACCTCCCCTGTTCTCCTACGTGCGCGTCCAACCAAACAAATCAGCTCCCGATTACCAAGACTAGACTACTGATGACTGGAGTAATAAAAATACTCTCTGCAGCCTGCCTGACGAATACGATTCCTCCATGGAATTCCTGCACGGCCTAGGGCCAGGCCAGGGGGCAGGGGGTGTCCCGTCCACGCGCTCCCTACGCCTGCATGATCCAAAGGCAGCCAGGTCACGGGTCCCTGGATCCGCAGCGATGCGGACAAGGCTCGCCAGTCGCCACCCTCTCATCACTCTCAGCCTAGCTAGCATTTTCCCTGGATCATTGCATTGTACTCCCTCCGTCCCTCAACAGAGGACGTTTTGGGATTGAACGCAGAGCCCAAAGTAAGAGCTAAAAGACCACAACACCCCTATAATGTAATCATTGCTCTCAGGACCACAGCACTCCTATAATGTAGTCATTGCTCATAGTGTCAGATTGAAAAACATGCATGAAATGGATTTTGTATTAGGGGAGACGAACCCGTGACCACTGGCTCTTCGCACCAGCGAACATCGCCATAGTGTCAGATTGAAAGACATGCACCACTTTTGCATTAGGGGGAGCATGTCCCGTGACCACGGCACGCTTTCGGCTAACATCCTGGCCGCCGCTCCCTAGCTTGGGGGAGCATGTCCCATCGCCACCACCGCCCCCTAGCTTCAGGGCATGCTTGGAGGCCACATCGCCGTCGCGGACCGCCGGCTTAACAACGGGCTCGGGGTTCCCATCGCTTTCGCTGCTGCTGCCTCTCAGCTTTTGCCCATTTTGCGCTGCCGAGTGCACGGCGATGGATCGAGCCAGCGGTCGGGTTTAGGGAGGCGCCGCCCAGCGCCAGCCATGCCCGATGGGGAGGAGATGGAAGACGGGGATGCGGCACTGGGATGCAGAGGAGATGGGGAGGCAGAGGAGATGGGAATGCGGCACTGGGATGTGGAGGAGATGGAAGACGGGGAGATGGGGAGGCGGAGATGGGGATGCGGCACTGGGATGTGGAGGAGATGGAAGACGGGGAGATGGGGAGGCGGAGGAGATGGGGATGCGGCACTGGGATGCGGAGGAGACGGGGATGGGAGCCGACGGAGATGGAGAGGTGGATGCGGATGGGTGTGCTTTCTCCGTCCGTGACCGAGAGGATATGCCACTGGAGATATTTTTTCCTTCCACCGGCTGTTTTTTTTTTTACTTTTTTATTCGTGAGAGTGGGAGACAGGAACGTGATGGATGGTCGGTTGCAGTACTCAGTATAGGTAGTAGCTAAGAGACATCTATTTTGATACTCATTTTGAATGTTTGGACGTCCTCTGTCGAGGGACGGAGGGAGTAGGAGTAGTAGCTCTAGCTCTCTGTCGCACTCGCACACGCAGCTACCGAGCCAGCAAATGGGGTGCGCCGGCGTACGAATCGTGTGCTCTTCCCCAAGCCTCAAGGAATTCAGCTGCGCAGCCGCGGCACTAGGACGGAGATGCCTGCGTCTGCGTTTACTCCTAGCACATCTGGGTGGGAAACTGCTCGGGCGCCCGGGCGGTATGCCTCTTGCCGTACCAAAGTACGAACGAGCTCCGCGATCGTGTTTCAGGTGGGATTTAATAAAGTTTAGAGTATCACGCCAGATGTCACGTTGAGGTGTTATATATGAGTGTTTAAATAGTAATAATAAAATAAATTATAAAAATTCTTATGAATCCGCTAGACGAATTTATTAAGCTTAATTAATTCGTTATTAGCATATGGTTACCGTATCTTTACTGTAGTACCACATTGTCAAATCATAGAATTAGGTTTAAAAAATTCATCTCACAAGGTAGTCGCAATCTGTGCAATTAATTATTTTTTAGTATATATTTAATACTTCGTGCATATGTCAAACATTCAATATGATAAGGACTAAATTTTAGGGGAGGAACTAAACAAGCCTTAGAGTCAGATCAACAGGAGCGTATGCGTGCTCCCTCACTGACAGCTGCTGATTGTATCCTCGTCGTGTGCGCAAGCACGGTCGTTTTCGCGTCTCAGTATATACTCCTGCCTTGCAAAAATCAAACGGAGCACTGACCACATATTGCCAGCTTGCATTTCTAACCCAGCTGAACGGAGCTAGGAATTAGCAGGTTTGATTGTACTGCAAGTGTGGAGCATAGAGTAAGGGAACTTATAACTCTGTTTCAATAATATATATATATATACATACTCTATTTGGATTTGTTCTGCTCTTAACACACTGCGTGTCACGGGAACCACAATACAGAAGCATTCGATGGAATTGGATTTGTTTCAGTGTGCTTCGGTTAAAACACTGAACGGACGTGTATCCACGAACCATCAAGCATACCAAAGCTTTATTATCATTGAACAAATCAGGCGAAGTGTCTAGTTACCGCAAATAAATAAATCCAACTTGGTCACTCGACAGGTAAACACCACTATACCAGGGCAGAGTAGGCAAGGCGTTTTGCAAGGCATTGTATAACTATACATGCAATCTCTGCTGATGTTAGGCAAAGCCCTACAAGAAGCTGCACTCATAAAACAGGGCCAAGCAGAGTGTAGAACAAGAACAGGCGAGCAGGAATACAACAAAGTTTGACACGATGCCTGGCCGGATGTCAGCGGAGTGATGTCTGCCCGGCGAGATGGAGCAACGCCTGCTTGTGGTAAGCCGTGCGGAGCTTCTTGTACTTCTGCACAAAGGTTGCAAGGTCGATGTCTTTCTCCAGGAACTTCTGGTGCAGCTCCTCAGACTCCTCGTCCAGCTTTGCCATCGATGCTGAGGAAACAACAGTAATGATTAGTTTGTGTGACAAACATCTTACAAATTCAAATACTTGGAATTATATATTCCTTTTTTTTGTTGTTGTTTCGAACTGGTAATGAAACACTTCAGAAGATTCTAGCATATAACGTACACAGGAACTGAAGATGTTATTGTTCAGAGTACTTACTTTGGAGCTTGTCGAGCAGTGCGGCAGGGGAATACGACCTCATAATATCATCCTTTTGCCTCTCCAAATCAGTAAGCTGGTCTTGAGCAGCAGCCAGTTCTGAGGTTCTAATTATTGTGCACTACACAAAATTATAAATGCAAATGAAATCTCAGCAAAGAAATGAAGCGCTGAAAACATAAGAACAAAATCAGTACAAAGCTTCACAGTAACAGTATTACAAGGTTCTCGTTTCATGGTATTAACAAATTTTATAAACTATGCTGATCCTTTGATTTAATAATGAATAGCACGACCACAATGTTTGCTATCTTTCTTCATGAAATATATAGGTGACAGTGCTGCACCTGATTCCTAAGCTCCAAAATCCGCTGCTCCTTTTCTAAATTTTCCCCTGTAGTTTACAACACCAAAGAGATAAAGAAAATGTTACATATATATCTTATTTGAAGTTCTGTAAAATGTAAATCAAAGGGTACTTTTGAAGCACCATAATTTTTTTTGAAACAATTCAAACACGACTATTTAAACAAACAGAATGTATAACTCACTTGCAAGTTGCAATGTCTCCTTTCTAAGCTCATCACGTACCTGAACATTAAGAAAGAGGGCCCAGTCAGCAAATACACAAGACTTCAGTAATTTCCTATATGGGTATGCCAGAGATGAGGCATTGAGGAAATAAACACTAAACCAGATAAGAAGCAGTCACATCACAAAATAAATACTTGCAAAACAACCACCAACACATGGACGAGGCACCAGAGGAAAGATGAAACATGTGTTAAAAACTAAAAACTTAGCCCACAAGAGGATTGGCAATACTAAGCTTTCAAGGATTTTGTACACTAGGAGATAGATTGTAAAGAAATAATGAACAAAAATAGTAGCATTGGAACTCTGACATCATTAACTAATCAAGAAGGTTTCAAAACTGTTTCCATAGCCAGTGTGGTGAGGATATCCAATATAGACGAGGAGACACTCTTAGGAACCTCAAGAATATTGGAACCACCGAACCAAAGAAAGCTGATTTCAAAGTTCAAAATTCAAAGGAACCTGAATAACAATATTAGGTGAGGAGACATTCTTAGGCACCGTTTGGATTGTAGGAATTTCAAAGAATTTCAAAATCCAGAGGAACGCAATTCCTATGTTTTGCTGACGCCAGGTGCCGTTTGGATTGGAGCAATGAATCTCACTGTTCCTCTGGAAAAGCACGCTTCCCTTTGCAAAACGCAGAAACAAAAACATCCGCTCCGACCCAAAAGTTTTCGCGGATGGCCAAGGTGAACGCGCGTGTGAAAGAGAAAACAGAGGTAAAGGAAGCTCGAAAAAGCAATTGTGTCATGGCCACCAGGATCGAAGCAACATTTGCACCACTGCAATGACACCTCACAGCCTATCTCAACCTCTCCTCTCTTTCCAGCTTCCACGCGGATCAAGCGCCTAGGCGAGTGCAAAATGGACCTTCTTGAATGGAACGACGTTTAAGGACCTGCCCTTGCCAGTTGGGAGAAGTCAGTGGTGGATGCGTGTGGGATGAGAGAGGTGCTGGCCAGTGATGGAGAGAGACCAGATGAGGCTTGGGGAAGAGATAAGATCGAGCTTGGGAAGGAACGAGCAGCAGAAAGTAGATAGATGAAGTACTAAATCTTCACTGCTGTGGGGTAGCAATTTGAATGGTTCATATATCAGTGGCTAGGAAAAAAACTCTCATGCCTATAGAGATGAGTTAATCCATCCGTTGATGACTATAAATAAATAAATAAAGGCTGTGCACATCCAGTTCAGGCAAATTGGATTCCTATTTATCTCCAATTTTTCTTATGCTCCTATTCCTGAATTCCAAACTCCAACTCATAAAAAAATTGAGTGTTTCAATCATCTGTTTTGCCACTACACTTCTTTCCTATTCCTATAGCTTTTCCTTTCCTGTGTTTTTCATTCCTTCGTTCCAAACAAGCCATTAAAATGTGGGTTATGATGCAGAAAGGATTTCAGCATCCTCTGGTGAACCCAGCATCACAAATATAAAGAAGTGGTTGTGCAACAGAGCTTACATTGTTTTGGGTTTTCACTTGATCAAGTGAGTTAAAGAATGCATTATATGCCTCTTTGTCTTTCAAAAGCCTCTGTAATTCCTCAATACTGCACAGAAAATTTTGATTAAAAAAATAGCACGATATAACAAGGTTGTCAACTCCAGCCAAATGATGCATCATCAGGAAAATTAATATTGTGCAAATACATATGCTGTCAACATATAGAATTCACAAATACAGCACAGCAATGCATAAACGGTCAATCCAAAATTAGCCAGCACTTATCAATTAGTTCTCCAACCTACACCAAATGCCATGTTCTAGACAACCAGTTCATCTCTACTTTTATTACCCTTACAATCACCCTACAAGCTGCCTCGTTCTGGTTGTTCACGCTTGCCTTAACATATGTACAAGTACAACACAGATATGAGATGCCAATCCATAACACAATGGTATATGCTGAAGGACCATGCCCTACTATAGTGTTAAGGTATCAAAATTAGAGCAGTCATATGTTATAGATCTGGACATAGTTTTGTTAAATGACCCAGTTTAGTGATAACCCTAAAAGCATGTGATTGAAAGGCAAATATGCCTCTAACAGGATACCCAGGAGCTCACACTGTAACAAACAACAACACACACGAACACAAGTGGTTTTCGTGGCTAGAATGACTTAGCCTTTTTCTGGTTTTTCTCTTCTACTAATATAGCCAACGTAAGCTACAAATCAGGCTGTGATAGCCTCCTAATAAATGCAGAAAATTACCCAACTAATCAGCCTATTACTTCCTATTACTCCATGCTGAAATTTAGCTAAAGTAAATGATATGAACCTAGACACTAGCATGCACCTACACACACAGGATTATTTCCTTCAGTGATTTGTAGTAAAGGATGACAAAGTACTTCGATGCAACATAATAAATATGAGACAGGAGACAATCTTGTATGCAAGAAAGCTAGACATAAATCCTTAAAAGGAAATAAGACTATGTGCTAACCTCTTATCCTTCAAACGGGCAATTATCCCAGCAGCCTCAGCAGGAGATGGTTGCCCACGGGATGAAGACTGCGGATTACCTGAAGCTCTTTGGTGTGGACTAGCACTAGAAGAGGTAGGGGTGGATGGACGTGAAGACGAACCTACAACTGAGGGAGGGTACCAAGACTGCGTGGGGATGTCCTGGAAATTTGGATCTGTTTGCTGCTGCTGAGAGTTGCTATGAGCACATTCAGCAGAGCCAATGACAGCAACCAAGAGAAGCAAAATTTTCAGAACTTGTAAGGCATAATTTCTTATATGGCATCCTTAAACATTCAGGAAATGGCACATATAGCAAAAAAGGGCAGACCCAGTGCCGGAGGCTCCCACATGAGTGGGGTCCGGGGAAGGGAAAAACCGAGGCAAGCCTTCCCCCCGCAAAATCTACGGAGAGGCTGCTTCGAACCCACGACCTGGTGACTCAGTGAGACAGCTCTCACCACTGCACCAGGCCTGCCCCGCAAAATGGCACATATAGCAATCAGGTAAAATTCTCTTTGGTTAACTAAAGAAGGGTTGTACAGGGAGAGAAAAACTAAAACTAGACACCACAGTGTTGTGATTGCACAACTTATTTGAACTAACAGGTTCCAAAGAAAACATGTACCAAATGCATATAGGAAATTAGGAATATTTAAAACCTAACTAATTAGACAGATTACGCCAGGGCTCATAGAACATAGATAATGGCCACACCATGGATTTATTTCAATAAGATCAACATACCCGAAGAGAGGAAATCTCCAGCTCATCGTATAGAGTAATCTGCATTGAAAGAAAGTTACGGATGTTAATTGATAAACCGATTGGTGACGTAATATGAGATGTTTGAACCCTTCTTATTTGTCAAGATCAAATTGACATCCAAGTAAATTTTGATACGAATTGCATAATAGTGGTAATTAGTGCTTGCGAAGATAACACTAGTCAGTTTTTTCCACAACGGTCGAAAGCAAATTTCACTACGCACCTAACCAAATTACAAAGTTCAACAGATAAAGGTACCAACAAAACAAAATGCAAGCTACCAACGCATCCACGATTCTGATTGCCAAGGGATCAGCCATCAAGGACAAACACCTTACAATCCAACTAGAAACGCCAAAGTATGGCCAACTGACACATAACACTAGCCAGTTGCATCATCATAAAACAATCATTTCACTAAGTTGCCTATATGTGCGTGAGGCAGCAGTAACTTGCTATTACCATGCATTCTAGAGTTAAAATGGGCCAGTAACTATGCAGACAAATCGTCGGAAGCGGGCATGATCCTGAGCACACAACTTCCAGTAGGGGCAGGGGCGGACTTAAGGAAGGGGCACAGGATTCAGTTGAACACGGGGACGGGCCCAGATGGATCACCAGATAAATTTCGGGGGGGAAATCGAAATTCTTAAGTACAATACATACATACAGTTTTAATTTGATCAGATCCGAAAATAGATAACTTATAAGGTAGGGTTTGGGTGCTCGGTTTCACACAGCGGGAAGGGAAGAGAAGGGGTGGGCGTACCTGCTCGTCGCCGGCAAAGGTCCCCAAGAAGACCTTGAAGGCGCCGATGGAGACCTGGGCACCCGGCGTAGGGCAACGGCGGCGGTTGCCCAGTCGTCGCCGTGCGGGAGAGAGAACACACGCGGGGGAACGAGAGAAAGGAATTTGGTTTCCTTACACGCGTTTCTTTCTGTCTTGTGCCCCACCTCTCCGTGGGCAGATCGGCCCAGTATGCACGCAAAGATTTTGGAGGACACGTGTCGGTATCGATATTAGATACCCAAAATAGTAAAGTTAGCGTTCACGCTGACTTTTTCGGATGACTCAAGACATATTAAAAGGTTTCGTCCGATTTTAAGACCGTGGACTCCGTCTCGTCCGACCTCAAGGTCGCGGGCACCGTTTCGGCCCTTGGGCGCGGGCTTCGTCTCGTCCGACCCTAAGGACGCGGGTTCCATCTCGCCCGACCTCGAGGACGCGGGCTCCGTCTCGCCCGACTTCGAGGACGCGGGCTCCGTCTCGCCCGACCTCGAGGCTGCGGGCTCCGTCTCGCCCGACCCCTTGGATACGGGCTCCGTCTCGCTCGACCTCGAGGCTGCGTGCGCCGTCTCGCCCGATCCTAAGGACGCGGGTTCCGTCTCGCCCCACCCATTGGGTGCGGGCTCCGTCTTACTCGACCCCTTGGGTGCGGGCTCCGTCTCGCCCAAGGACGCGGTTTTCGCCTCGCCCGACCTCGACGACGCGGGCTCCGTCTCGCCCGACCTCGAGGACGCGGGTTTCTGTCTCGTCCGACGGGGACCCATACCGCCGCCAACCACTCCGGGTCCAAGCGTAGGGGCCTAGGTCAAAACTCTGACGTCAGGGAAGAGGCTAGCACACCTCGATGTAACACGTGGCCATGACGGACCATACATAGGGATTCACATCAAGAACATTGTCGAGACGTGCCGGTGTTGTTCTGTCTCATCCTCATACGGACGCTGACAGACACGTCAGTTCACCACGACGTCCACTAGGACAGAGTGGAACGCCATGACCGGCAGATGACGCCTGCGCATGGTGCCAGTGATGAACAGGGCCGTGACATGGAGCCGTTCCTATTAACATCTATAGGATCAGCGGAACCCGCATAAAGGAGAAGAAGGACCCAGCAACTCTGGAAGCCTTCTTCTCTCTCGTTCTTCTACTTTTTCTCCTCTGTAACCCGTGCTTTCTCTTCGCCTATAAAAGAGAAAGCAGGGTGCCCCACGCCGAGGGAGAGCGAAAACACAAGAGCACAACATGAGCACACGGCTGAGCGACAATCGAGCTCTCAACACCCGCTCACTCTTTCCACCAGAGACTTGGGATCCTAGCCCTCTCTCGCATGTTTGTAACCCCTACTGCAAACTAAGTGCCGGTAACACGAGCAGCAGCGAACTGGACGTATGAACGTTTTGCCTGAACCAGTATAAACCCTTGTGTCCTCCGAGCACACCATTCGAGCCAGACGCGCAAATATAAATTTACTCATTGGTGGTCCAAAAACACCGACAGTTGGCGCGCCGAGTAGGGGCTTTTTGCGCGTCTCGACATCCACATCAGGCCTCAGATAGCTAGTCACGACATCAGCTAGGTCCCGGGCACGCACGTGCGCTTCAGCAACCTGGACTTCATCATTACAACG